GTGTTTTCTCATTATCATAATTATTCTTACCCGAAATTTTCCAGGATAAAGCTCCTTGGCCAGTGTAAAGAAAGGTGCAGGGTTGGACTAAAAAATGAATGACAGACTGAGTCAACTTTGTCGAATATTAGACTTTGATCAATCTAGTGAGTATTATGTTTGATTAAAGGCTAAGTTCTTTCCCAAGCTTTAGTGTCAATCTTGCATATAAGTTACAATTAATATTATTTTCTTCAGACAGCAGAGTAAGAAAGATCAACAGCTTGGCAAAATAAAGATACAATAAAATGATATTAAAGTGTGACCATGATCAGGTTTTTCTAGGAACCTTAACCAAATACAAGGCTGTGCTCTAAGGAGAATTGAAGGGCGCCCGGTTCTCTGAACCGGTAAAATCTAGGCTGCCCAGGATATGATTTGTATGAAAAAACTAAGATTTGCTAGTCGCCCGAGGGCAAAAGTTGGGCAACAGGGGCCACTGTGCCCTGTTAGGGTACAGCCCTGAAATAGCATAAAATAATTTATGAATTCTATAATACAGTTGCTGAACTTCTGTATGCTATGTTAGTTTTCACCATAATGGACAGTCACCTATTTAATACACGCACAGCTGTACACTGTATGTCTCAAATACCAAAATCAATTACTCAGTGAAACCACAATAATTTGAACTGGTCATTAGCATTATGTTTCCTGTTAACGACTACCAAATTTTGGCATTTCAGGTACTCAGTGATGGCTGGTTTAACTGCATTAAACTAATTGCTAGTACATCATATATTTAATTTTCAGCACTGCTAGTGCTAAAGCCTACCCTAAAAAAATTGATCTCAAACACCGCTTGAGGAGTGGGTAAGTCATATTTTTGAAGGTTATCATAGAGGCCTGTGCCAGGGGATCTAAAATCAGGAATACCAGCTGCTGTAGATATCCCTGCACCTGTCATGACAATGATTTTGGAGCCTACAAAACAACAACCACCAAAACCTCTCAGTATTTCACCATATAAAGACGTACAATGCAGACAGTTTTGGTGTCTCTGACTAGTAGCCTACGTGTAGCCAGCTAGGCCTAGAAGATGGACACATTAATAAAGTTGTTCATTCATTTATTCATTCTAACCTTTGCCTCTGTGTATAAAATTCTATAACAAAATAATGTCACTTTTAAAAATGACACCTCTTTGAAAGGTAGTACCATCTGTTGTCCCCAAAAATGTATAAACAAGTTCTTGATCACTACATTTGTTACAATCTTTTGTATAAATTTGCAAAATGAAAAACATGTCAATAACAATATTGTCAGAAAATGAACTCACAGCGGCCACTCCTGATGAATTTTGCGATACCCTCAAATGTTACTTCATCTAATAACTGTACTGGTTTTTCCTTCTCCTCTTCATTAGCTTCTCCATTCTTAACTCCAACGCCAGCAGATATTTGTAAGCTTTGCAGAAATTTTTGAAGAGCATTCAAGCTAACTAAAAAAAATAACAACAAAAGAATAATAATAAATAGAATAAAGAAAAAAAATTAAAAATACATTCAGTAGCTTTACCTACATAAATACAAAGGTGAAAAAACAGATTAAAAAAATTATGAAGGAAAGTATCTTTCTAAAATTATTAGGTCTGTCATATTTCAAAGATGTTCCCGTTTTGATAGAGCTGACTATCCCTCTCATATCGACAAAGAACATGTATGTTATTACGCACTTGATGACTCTTGATCAAACTTCAAATTATTCCTAATTTGCTTTATAAGCACATACCAGGCTATCTGAAATGAGAATTATACAGTTTATCGGAATATACTTCGGGCTTTGTCCTGGGCATGCCTTCAAATTAATTGCTTGAAGCAGTTACAAAAAAAGCATTGATCTAATAATTATTTTAAAAATGAATTGACTGAAGTACTATAAATTCTATTATTTCATTTTTAATTTGCAATGCACTGATTTGATTTAAATGAGAAGGTGGAATGAAAACAAGGAGCTGAGGCTGACTAGAGGGTTTGTAATTAGATGACAAACTGATGAGTTTTGAACTTATCCAAACTTTACCATGTTGCTGGTACACTAAATTGCTAAAACAAACTGTGCAAGAAATATCTCCAGCAAAAGACAGGCTTGACTGATATATGTCACACATACAGTGCTCTTGGCTGTCAGCAGAAAGGACAGTGTGTATAAAATTATTCAAGGTACACTAGCTAAATCAAAATATGAACTTAAACATAGTTAGCAGAGGTGACCTAATGAGGCAATTAAAAGTGTGTCAAAAGTTTGACATACTGAAATGAAAAGAAGCAAACTAAAGAAACTTACTCCCATCTTTTGGCTCTCCTCCTGAGGCTTCAGCACTACTATTATCTTGGTTTTCTAAACAAATAAAATTAATATTATTCTTAATTCATAAAATGATATAATGCAATTATTTCATAACAACTTTATCACTGTCAAATAGAGTTCTTCACATCCCTATGCTCATTTACTAATTGTCATCAACATTTGGCCGGAAAAAGCAAATGATGCCAAAGATTTTCGTATTCCAGCTGGGCAGAAAAACTTATGGGTTGCAAGTTAATACTAAGGTCTAACTGAGGCTTCTGAATTTTAGTGAGGGTTAGCATCGGCTGAAATGCCAAGTAGTTTAGGGTGTCGGATTTAACTCTGTACGTAAAGACTTGGGTTGGCCACTATAGTTGGGGTTTGTTAACTGGTTTGCTTTCAGCCAATTTGGACAGCAGGAATTCAAGGACAGGAAAAAAGTGTTTTAAATTTGAGCATAAAAGTTTTTATTATTAAAAAAAAAGGTTTTTCCTTGAATTTGTACTGGCCACAAAATATGGTCGATTTTCTTTTGGAATAAAACCAAGATTATTGATGTCCTGTCATGCCCAATGATTAACGTTTCGCTATGACAAGACATAATTTATGGAGGCCATACTTGCTACTTGAGCATGTTTCCTTTTCTGATCAGTTCACTAAACACAGTTTACCCTTGGCAATAGGCAAGATCAATGGGTAAAGATTGGGTAAATGTTTGTTGAGGCCAGCACAGGAGAAAGGTTAATACTTGCTTTGTGGAAGCATCACTTTATCTGCCACTCGTACAGACACCAACACTAAACTACATGTAGTGGTAACTGGTGTATGGTACACCTAACATTCAGTTAATGCGCTCTCTCATAATGACCACTTCTTGTAATCAACCCCTCTAGTAAGTGACCAAATAACTGTTTTGTTTCTCAGTCAAATACTGTTTTGGCCAGAAATTTAACATATTCTTTTGTTTCCTGTTTCTGGTAAGTGACCACCTGGCAAGATCACATATGATTGTAAGAGAACCATTTCTTGAATGTCACAAAAGTTCAGTTTATGAAAGCACTGACCAACCAAGCGTGCTGAAAGATTATAGCAGTTGACTTACAAAAAAGATGCTGTAATATGATCTAGTACATGGATAAAAAAGTGGATATTTGCTACATTGATGCAAAATGTTATGTACAAAGCTTCAACAGTTACAAGTGCTATCTGATGTGAACATTGTTGCTAGTTATCTATTTAACTAATTTTAGCTTGTAAGGCTATCACTTAACAATGATCAGATCAGTTTGAGCTTATTTTCTTGATTTTTCCTATGGACAACCACCTCTTGTAAGCAACACTTTGTTGTGTACCAAGAGTGCTCCCTTACGAGCGAGTTGACTGCAATTATTCTAACAATCATCTAAATGCTTTACACTGGTTTTGCAACTTGTCAAACTTGCTACCTAAATACTGGGCTCACTGCCTATTGGCTAGCTGAAAAGAATAAGAAATATACTTTTTTTTTCCAGTGGGATTAAGGAAATAGTTTCGGTAAGATTTCTGTATAACCCCATACATTTATTAGGCATACATGTTTCGACTCTATTCAGGTTAAAGGGACAGGTTCACAGGCGCATGCTCATTTATCAAAATGCTGTTTTTCTGACGGGACATGCTGTATCATCTATGCAAGCAATATGATCATGTCATAATGTTGTCAAAGAACCAATCTGCATACTTCCCTGGCAGTCACTTGCACTTGATCAACTTAAATATTTGCAAATAGCTGTAAATTAATCAACCATGGAATAAAACCTTCAGATCAACAATAAATTCAAAGTTGGTAGTGTTAGCATAATCCACTTATTTTTTCGGCAATTTTAGTACTCCTCCATCCTACTTCAGGTTACTCTGAAATACAATTCTCTGAGATCACTGAGATACATGTGAATGGGATGATTAACCTATAGAATTAATAATTAATTGGAAAAAAGTAATTAAATTAATGAGCATGCGCTTAACCGTGAACCTGTCCCTTGAAACTGTTTGTGAGAAAAGGAATGAAGTTCCTGCATGCATAATTAATATATATAGGGTTATACGGAAATCTTACTTTATTTTCGATGGCTTACAGAAAATAACATGTCACGAACGTGTTTCAAACTAAGGGGTAGCGAATTCGACAAGTAGCGAAACCGGTTGTTACATTGTTGCATCTTATCTCTTTTTTATTTTTAACTTGTGAACGGAACCTACTCTCATCTCTTTGATGTTCACCCGAATCTCCAATACTTCCTTCATCTTGACTTTCTGATGGAGGTTTATCTGAAAATAAACGAAATATAAAAACTGAATATAAAGATATAAACATTGGCTTACCCTCATTTTCAAATGAATGGAAGCTTCAGCTAAGCTTGCATCGCTCGCGAAATATAATTAAATCAATCAAAACGCACCTTCCTTTGAAGCCATATCGGAGAGCTAAAACAAAAATTTAAAAAACCGGAAATTTTTCCACCACATAAGTGACGCAAATGGTTGCAGTAGATACTTAAAATTTGCCGATATGTTCAAAGCGCTCAAACGGGGTCAAGAAGGGCAGTGCAGTTTCCATCAGGCATCGACCGTGTAACCGCGTAAAAGACTGGAACTGTATTTTAACCTTTTCCAAATATGGTTGTAGGCAAGTTATTAGAAAAAATGGCGGACTTGCCTATGGTAGCGGACGATACGGTACATGTATTCTCTGCCGGCAATTGAGGAAGAGAGGAAATCAAAATGATTTTCTCGGCAACTTGTAAATCTATCTGCTTTTGGCATTAAAAGGGTAAGAACATCTGAGTTAAGCAGGATTTTTTTGTCACTTCACACCGTGCGCGAGCTCTCGAAATGGTTGGCGTAGCAACGGTTAAGGCTATGTGTCGGGAGAAAAAACGTCCCTTGACTGAGTTAAAACGGATTCACCGATATCCAGGCCGTTGAAACTTCTGTTTTACCCACAGGTCATCTAATAAAATGGCATCCAGAACGGCGAAGAAAACCGGTTTGTTCGCGATCGATGACAACTTTGTTGGACACTTGAGCTCCAGCCGGAAACTGTAAGTCAGGGGATTTAGAATTGTGTTGATAATTTTCCCTTTATTATGTAAGAATGGAATGGCTTTTCCATTGTGAGATAATTATTTAAAAGGGGCTGCATAGTGGGTGTAGGTGTTAGATCATTGCCGGAATATTATTGTGGGGGCCTGGGTACGAGTCCGTATAGTATCGTTACAGAGGCTCTTCTTTACAAGAAGCACGTGAGTTTGCCAGCTCCTTCACAGAAGAACTCAAAACTTTTATTAGAATAATAGTCCCTATAACCTGCACTACCTATTGTTTTCAGGGATAGGAGCATTGTTATGTCACCATCCCTATTGTTTTACCAGCCAATCACAAACCTTGTTTGGAATCGATGCAGGTCTATTAAAGGCAGGTCTAGACTATGGGTTAACCTGCAGATGTAAATTTGATGCGTGTTTTCCATCAGATGGTTGGTTTTTGAAGGGAAATTGTAACTTCGATGGACTTCAAGAAAAAGTTTTCTTGATGATTCCACTAACACGACTTGTGAACTCATGGCAACTGCAACTATGACAGAAATGAGAAAATAAGCAAAACAAAACGTGCAGCACACTTTTTGACCAGTTTCGTTGCTGTCATTGCATGACTGACATTGTAAAATTTATTGAAAAAGGCAATGTGATTGTTGCTAAAAGCAATAATAAGAACAAAAAATGAGATTGTCTCTTCATCAATGGGTATAATCAGAAATACCCCTACAGAGGTTCAAAGAAGAATATATTATATTCCACAAAATAATGACCGTTTTTGAGTGGATTCCTGACATTAACATTTTTGTGGCCTGTCATTTGTAAACAATTTCTAAAAGAATACAATTTACTAGATGTACATCAACCAATTAGCTGTCGTTGACCAGATTCGGGACAAATCTATGTCATCAGCATAAAATGTTTGCGACTGAATTGCTGAATCGCAGATGTCTCTCCCACAAACTGCCCTGTATTCTAGGCTAGCAAATATTGAATGAAATACAGCCATTAAAAAATTTTAATGTTTAACAAGAGAAATGTAGATATGCAGTAAAGTTTCCACCAATCCATGCATTTTCATAGTACTGTTAATTGTCAAGTTTTTGAAAGGCTGTATCTTGTTCACAGGTGGATACCATACTTGACACTTTTGTAAAGTTTGGTGTGCTCTTTCTGACTGTTGTTGTTCTTGTGTGGATGATATGAAATATGGCTGTTGATGGTTTGCTGTACTGAAGTCACAGAGGCCATTGTTGTCATCCAGCATGGCCACCTTATCACCTGGTACTTGTGATCCAAGAATCTTCAGGTTCTCAACCCTCCGATGTACATGCAAATTTATACCCCCACTGTGATACAGGGGGGGAGGGTTGATAGATCCCCCCCCAGAGTTTTTAATATCTTGTAGTATTGCAAAAAGATTTTGCCTTCAGTGAAAAGCCTTTGATCTTCTCAACAAGATGAGGTATAAATTATTTTATGGGTGGTGGTGCTGCTGGAGGCCTGTGACATCACCAACAATGGTCACCATTTTGGCTGCCATCTTGGATTTTACCAAGAATTAGAAATCAGGTTAAAACTGCGATAAATGGTAATTTTTTGTGCTGGACATGTAAGATAACGCATAAATAAGCACTTTGCATCATTTTATCCCCCAGCTTTACTTTTATTGTTGAAAGGAGTTGAAAATACATGCATTTTCACTCAAAAAAGGCTTGACCACCTGCTACTTATGACATCATATCTTATAACCATAGAAACTGACAATAAGTACATGTAGAAAATAAAAATGGCGCTACACATTGGTGTTAACTGTGGGTTAAGGGGAAGTGGTAGGGGGTGGATGGGAAGTTTCCCAGAACCTTATAATTTACTGATCTCTGGTCACTTTTATAAGAATCAGCCCACAGCAAGACACAGAAGAGTTTACCGATTATAGGATAATAATGCCTCATTCTACAGTCACGGAAAAAATTGGTTGCTTACATGTAATCTGTTACATAATAATAATTATTATTTATTACATTTTAGAAGCAAATTGGAAGCAGAGCGACTGGAAATGCAGTGGAAAAAAATTTGTGAAAATGAAAAAAAGAGTAAAGAAAGAAATAGAGAGCTGCTTAAAGACTTTGAGAGAGTGGAGAGACATGCTGCTATGCTAGCTGTTAAATCAGATAGGCTTAAGTCTTACAAGGTAATATCAGTTCTACATCTTAAAATTACATGAACCTAAGCGTGTATTACCATCTTATTAAACAACTCCCCAGTTTTATAGCATTACATGTTCTTGATTATTGTTGGACATGTTTCTGTGAACAGGGCATTTTTAGCAAATTGTATGAATTATTAAAAAAAACAACAACAACAAATCGAATAATTCAATAAACTCTTTCATCTGTTACTTGTATATTAAATTTTTGTTTTCCCATTTTAAAACATGTGATGTTACCACAGAGAATTTTTTTATGAATGTGTTCCTAAACATACACATGCATGTACAAGTGGATGCCTATTTTGTGAAAAGACAGAAGACAAACTTCATTGAGAACATCACTTGATCTGAACTGGGAAAGCACAACATGCAAGCTGACAAGGTCTATTTAATAATGAAACATCTGTTGTGTGATGTTACAGCAACAATATGAGAATTATATCAATAAGATGTACCCTCGATGGAGAGAAGAACTGGAGAACTATAGACTGAGACAACAGCAGGACAGGAATGGCCTGACAAGTGTAAGTTATTTGGTCAAAATAAATATTGCGTGGTGGCATAATATAAACAGGTTGAGCCTTATTGTGCCACTAAATGTAGTCCTGAATAGGACCTTTGTTGACAGTGACTGACATTTCAATAACCTGTGCGGTAGTCATCTTCAGAGTCAAAGTGAGTTGTATCATGTGAGGTTATGGTATTAAACTCTGGTTACTGACCTGATTGGTCATTTAAGTCGAGATCTTAATGGTGTTCTGTCAGTTATGAAAACTCTTAATGTCATCGGTGTGTTTCGATACATCTATTCAATAGATGTATTTATATATTATGCCTAAATAGACAATCAGCAATTTGACTGCCACATCGACTGTTAAATTGTGACAATAATTGTCACAATTTAACAGTCGATGTGGCAGTCAAATTGCTGATTGTCTATTTAGGCATAATATATAAATACATCTATTGAATAGATGTATCGAAACACACCGATGACATTAAGAGTTTTCATAACTGACAGAACACCATTAAGATCTCGACTTAAATGACCAATCAGGTCAGTAACCAGAGTTTAATACCATAACCTCACATGATACAACTCACTTTGACTCTGAAGATGACTACCGCACAGGTTATTGAAATGTCAGTCACTGTCAACAAAGGTCCTATTCAGGACTACATTTAGTGGCACAATAAGGCTCAACCTGTTTATATTATGCCACCACGCAATATTTATTTTGACCAAATAACTTACACTTGTCAGGCCATTCCTGTCCTGCTGTTGTCTCAGTCTATAGTTCTCCAGTTCTTCTCTCCATCGAGGGTACATCTTATTGATATAATTCTCATATTGTTGCTGTAACATCACACAACAGATGTTTCATTATTAAATAGACCTTGTCAGCTTGCATGTTGTGCTTTCCCAGTTCAGATCAAGTGATGTTCTCAATGAAGTTTGTCTTCTGTCTTTTCACAAAATAGGCATCCACTTGTACATGCATGTGTATGTTTAGGAACACATTCATAAAAAAATTCTCTGTGGTAACATCACATGTTTTAAAATGGGAAAACAAAAATTTAATATACAAGTAACAGATGAAAGAGTTTATTGAATTATTCGATTTGTTGTTGTTGTTTTTTTTAATAATTCATACAATTTGCTAAAAATGCCCTGTTCACAGAAACATGTCCNCACATGTATGGTTTCAGTTTCTTTTCACTCTGGTGAAATAATTACAATGTACTTAACTTACTGCTAGTTTCCAAATTAATCTGCAGCTATGAGGTATCTAGGGTAATGATCATGTTAATCAGATCAAACTACATGTAGATGCTACTAAATTGCCTATGTTTATGTCTACAACTTTATTTCAACGTTTAACACCACTGTGTGCTGTAATTTTGGTTTATCTAACATCAGTCAAACCTAGGATAAACTTATTTTGCACAGTTTCATCAATCTCTATAGAGGCAAAGCAAAGAGATCTGTAACTATCACTGTTTTGGAAGCCACCTTGATGGGTAGGCAACCATGTGAGAAATTACAGTGTTTGTATGGGAATTTAATGTCAAATAATTTCTGTAAAGGAGCTGTACTGGAAAAAAATGAATTGTGAGCTAAAACTTCACCCCTAAGGTTTCTAATGAAAAAATAATTGAGGGCGTCACCTGCGCTAGAACCACTTTTTGAAATTTTCTATACTTTTGTCTGTAAAAATTTTTCTGCAGCTGACTAAAATTTCCTGGGAAAAATTGCAGATAAAATGTGGAAAATCTAAAGCAAGCAACTGGAGAAACTTAAGCACAGGTACGGCCCTCAAAATTTGGTAGTAGAATCCTTTGCTGTGTAGCTTAAGTTTACACTTCCTACTTTCTTCAGAACAGCCGTTTTACGAAAATTATTCGACATTAGGTTCCCATGCAAACACTGTTATTTCTCTCGCGGTTGTCTACCCGTCAAGATGGCTACCAAAACCGTGACAAGGTCTATTTTCGTTGTTGTTTCAACAAACAGTGGTTGAAACTTCAGCATGATGTTCTGATGTATTTGTTACTGAAATAAAAGAATAAAACTGTTATGATGTTCGCTAGACTTAGTGCCAAAAAATATCTATTTTTACAGACTTCTGGTTTATCTGCTACAAGGTCTGGGGCTGTACCACAATACAGTGGGAATAGTCACTTCACAAGTACACCTGCTATCGCTACCAATCCACTGCCGGGATATGATAGTAGTGCAAGCTTAACACAACACAGATCTCCACCAGGAATGTATCATCCGTCAGGCAATCTACATTTACAGAGGAGTCCTTTACAAGATCGTTATAATGACTTCCCTTATCGTGAAAGGCCTTTTGATTCATCTCGTCTACATGAAGATGGTGTACTACATTCAAGATATCCACAGCAAACTGATGGAAGGTGGGAACCCTCTAGTTTCCATGACAACCAGGGAACATATCAAACTCAATTTGTACCAAGTAGTAGAGAGTTCGATGCTTTTTACCATAGGCCACCAGATCGTTACCCTTCGCCGCCTGACCAGGTATTTTATGATGGGCGTCAACCTGTCGGTGAAGGTCCTAGGAGTTATGCACCTGACACAAGGTACAGGTCTGCTGAAGTTCCTTATGGACAGCGGCAGGGCCCCGGAACAGCCACACCTTATGAACCAAGGACAGAGCTACAGAGAGGCTACCAGGCACGTGGAGGGGAGAGAGGACTCTTTGATCAGAGTAGACATGGAGGACAACACTATGATGGTTGGCAGGCTAGGTACCATGGCAATCAGAGATCACCGGAATTTGAGCCACAGAGAAATGAAAGGAACATCGGTGGAAGAGATGAAACTCTTGTTGACAAGGTATGGGGTCTTGTTTAAGTTACATGTTGTACGTAGATGATAATAGGGACCTTACGTTTCGACAACGGCGAGATCCATGGAAACATCGCTGAATAACAGACTTCGCATCTTTTCAAACTTTTTCGCGATAATTTTCCCAAGTCGCCCAGTTTCTTATATCAAAAAAAGGGAACTTAGGTTGGAGCTGAAGAGAGGGGGCTGCGCCCGAGTTCAGACAGAGATGGTAGAATTTATCGTTTTGTCTTTTCCGTGTTCAAGTAAACTTAAATCTGATCCTTCCACGTTGTAGTTTAATATACACGGACAAGGGGACGAAATTTACGAAAAAGCGTGACGTTTACACGTAGACTTCTCCGTCGTTATTGCTTAGTGTCCATAATGTACCAGACAATTCTAGAACGCCTGTCAGTCGTCACGAACGTTTTGTCAGACTAGTTTTCTCCGAGAATTAGACAAACAATTTAGATTAGAAAAAACAACTCAGCTGCACGTGTATCACGCTTTTTTGTACACTTCTTTGTCGCCACTGCACGATTACAACATACAAATGCCTACCCGTAATTCCACGTTTTGTGGAGGACGTGAACACAAGAAAACGACTTTCTTTTTCTTTTTCTGGACTTCGCCAACATTTGACAAATTGAACGCGATGGAATAAGGGTGATAAAGTTTGAAGCAGCGTCACTTTTTAAGTGACGTTTACACGTAGCCATAGCCGGCGTTGTTTCTTAAGCTTTCTTAAATGTACCAGACAATTCTAGAACGCCTGTCAGTCGTCACGAACTTTTTGTCAGACTAGTTTTCTCTGAGAACTACACATACTTACCTTTGTGATTTTTGATGTCTTAAGCTTTACAAATCGCATGAGACTTTTAAAGCATCAATGATACCTAGTATGTAATACATGTACGTGAAGGTTTTTAAGGAATCGTGCGTTTTGAGACCGCGCAACGACAGGTACTGTACTTGTACGTCAAGAATCGTTTAGCGATCGACGTCATTCGCATCTCGCAGTAACCTTTTTGTACGTTTTACTATTGCAGTACTGGGTTCCCACGGGCCTCTCTTGTAGCTCAGTGGTGGAGAGACTGTATTACTGAGCTATTGAGAGCTCATGGACGACAGTATGGGCTCCTTTTTGTGGGAACTGGGAAGTTTTTTTTCGAGTAGTCCATTCATACACTGTACTAGTATTGATTCGCATCATCTTTTCTATATTGGCAGAAGTACGATGGTAGTCTTCACACCAGACCTGCCATGACAAGCGGTCACGATCCTACCCAGAATTTGAATCAACGTCCCTTAGCTAATGAACCAATCGAACCCCCGGAGAAACCTTTGGAGAGAAACATTCCAACGTCAAGTTTCCCAGAACCTTCGCTTTCGTCCACCGTCATGGAGACATCTGCGGAAAGCAATGATGTTCGTCCTGAAAAAGCCCACGAAGACATGTATGCGACACGGCCTGGACAACGTCAAAGTGTTACAAGAGAAGAGATCAAGGACAAAAAAGAAAGCAGTCCGGAAAGTGTAGTGAAAGGTCAGGGTCTTGGAACAGAAAAGACGGAAGTGTTGAGAGAACTTGAAACACATGTATGGTTTCAGTTTCTTTTCACTCTGGTGAAATAATTACAATGTACTTAACTTACTGCTAGTTTCCAAATTAATCTGCAGCTATGAGGTATCTAGGGTAATGATCATGTTAATCAGATCAAACTAGATGCTACTAAATTGCCTATGTTTACAACTTTATTTCAACGTTTAACACCACTGTGTGCTGTAATTTTGGTTTATCTAACATCAGTCAAACCTAGGATAAACTTATTGTGCACAGTTTCGTCAATCTCCATAGAGGCAAAGCAAAGGTATCTATAACTATCACTGTTTTAAAAGCCATCTTGATAGGTAGGCAAGCATGTGAGAAATTACATTGTTTGTATGGAATTTAACGTCAAGTAATTTCTGTAGAGCGGCTGTAGTGGAAAAAAAATGTGAATTGTGAGCTAAAACTTCACTCCAAAGGATTCTAATGAAAAAATAATTGAGGGCGTTACCTGCGCTAGAACCACTTTTTGAAATTTTCTATACTTTTGTCTGTAAAAATTTTTCTGCAGCTGACTAAAATTTCCTGGCAAAAATTGCAGATAAAATGTGGAAAATCTAAAGAGAGGAACTGGAGAGACTTAAGCACAGGTACGGCCCTCAAAATTTGTTAGTAGAATCCTTTGCTGTGTAACTTAAGTTTACAATACCTACTTTCTTCAGAACAGCCGTTTGACGAAAATTATTCGACACATGGTTCGTATGCAAACACTGTTATTTCTCACGCGGTTGCCTACCCAACAAGATGGCTACCAAAACCGTGACAAGGTATTTCCGTTGTTTTTTCAACAAACAGTGGTTGAAACTTCAGCATGATCGATTTGTTACTGAAATAAAAGAATAAAACTGTTATGATGCTCGTTAGGCTTAGTGCCAAAAAATATCTATTTTTACAGACTTCTGGTTTATCTGCTACAAGGTCTGGGGCTGTACCACAATACGGTGGGAATAGTCACTTCACAAGTACACCTGCTATCACTACCAATCCACTGGCATATGATCGTAGTGCAAGCTTAACACAACATAGATCTCCACCAAGAATGTATCATCCGTCAGGCAATCTACATTCACAAAGGAGTCCTTTACAGGATCCGTATAATGACTTCTCTTATCGTGAAAGGCCTTTTGATTCATCTCGTCTACATGAAGATGGTGTACTACAGTCAAGATATCCTCAGCAAACTGATGGAAAGTGGCAACCCTCTAGTTTCCATGACAACCAGAGAACATATCAAACTCAATTTGTGCCAAGTAGTAGAGAGTTCGATGCTTCTAACCATAGGCCGCCGGATCGTTACTTTTCGCCGCCTGACCAGGTATTTTATGATGGGCGTCAACCTGAAGGTCCTAGGAGTTATGCACCTGATACAAGCTACAGGCTTCCTGAAGTTCCTTATGGACAGCGGCAGGGCTCCGGAACAGCCACACCTTATGAACCAAGGACAGAGCTACAGAGAGGCTACCACGCACATGGAGGGGAGAGAGGAGCCTTTGATCAGAGTAGACATGGAGGACAATACTATGATGGTTGGCAGGCTAGGTACCATGGTAATCAGAGATCACCGGAATTTGAGTCACAGAGAAATGAAAGAAACATCAGTGGAAGAGATGAAACTCTTGTTGACAAGGTACGGGGTTTTGTTTAAGTTACATGTTGTACTTGGATGATAATAGGGACCTTACGTTTCGACAACGGCGAGATCCGTGGAAATGTCGCTGAATAATAGACTTGGCATTTTTTCAAACTTTTTCGCGATGATATCCCAAGTCGCCTTGTTACTTAAAAAAGCGAACGTAGGTTGGAGCTGAAGAGAGGGGACCGCGCGCGAGTTCAGACAGAGATGGTAGAACTTATCGTTTTGTCTTTTTCGTTCTCAAGTAAACTTAAAATTTGGTCTTTCCACGTCGTAGTTTAATATACACGGACAAGGCCACGAAATTTACAAAAAAGTGTGATGCACGTGCCGCGTCGTTGTTTTGCTCCTAATCTATTGCTTTTTTTGACGTTCCCGTCGCCGTCGCCGTCGTAGTTTCGTAAGGTCCCCCAATAGGGAGCTTAGCAACGACGACGGCGACGTCAACGAGAACGGCAAAAAAGCAATAGGTGTAGATTAGAAAAACAACCCAGCTGCACGTGCATCACGCTTTTTTGTACATTTCTTTGCTGCCACTGCACGATTACGACGTGAAAATCCCATAATTCCACGCTTTGTGGAGGACGTGAACACAAGACAATGACTTTCTTTTTCTTTTTCTGGACTTCGACCAGTCTTTTAGAATTCAACTCCACAAAAAAATTGCCAACATTTGACAAGATGAACGCGATGGAATAAGGGTGAAAAATTTTGAAGCAGCGTCCCTTTTTAAGTGACGTTTACACGTAGCCTTCGCCGGCGTTGTTACTTAAGCTTCCTTAAATGTACCAGACAATTCTAGAACGCCTGTCAGTCGTCACGAACTTTTTGTCAGACTAGTTTTCTCCGAGACGTACACATACTTACCTTTGTGATTTTTGATGACTTAAGCTTTACAAATAACTTGAGACTTTAAAAGCGTCAATGATACCTAGTATGTAATACATGTACGTGAACGTTTTTAAGGAATCGTGCGTTTTAAGACCGCGCAATGACAGGTACTGTACTTGTACGTCAAGAATCGTTTAGCGATCGACGTCATTCGTATCTCGCAGTAACCTTTTTGTACGTTTTACTATTGCAGTACTGGGTTCCCACGGGCCTCTTCTTGTAGCTCAAAGGTAGAGAGACTGTATTATTGAGCTATTGACAGCTCATGGACGACAGTATGGGCTCCTTTTTGTGGGGACTGGGAAATTTCTTTTCGAGTAGTCCATTGATACACTGCACTGGTATTAATTCGCATCATCTTTTCTATTTTGGCAGAAGTACGAGGGTAGTCTTCACACCAGACCTGCCATGACAAGCGGTGACGATCCTACCCAGGATTTGAATCAACGTCCCTTAGCTAATGAACCAATCGAACCCCCGGAGAAACCTTTGGAGAGGAACATTCCAACGTCAAGTTTCCCAGAACCTTCGCTTTCGTCCACCGTCATGGAGACATCTGCGGAAAGCAATGATGTTCGTCCTGAAAAAGCCCACGAAGACATGTATACGACACGGCCTGGACAACGTCAAAGTGTTACAAGAGAAGAGATCAAGGACAAAAAAGAAAGCAGTCCGGAAAGTGTAGTGAAAGGTCAGGGTCTTGGAACAGAAAAGACGGAAGTGTTGAGAGAACTTGAAGCAAAACCTGAAGAACCAACAAGAGTGAAGGTATCACGGGCAGCTATACCTGAAGGCATTTCAGAGGATATGTCGAAAGGAAGTCCGGAGCGGGTTGAATTAGATGCTGTCATTCCAAGGGAATCTGAGGCTGAAAAACATGCTCCACCCATTCTGGATGCGAATGAATTAGAACAGGCGGAGCAAAGTGATGACGATGAAAGTCTGGATTTGAGTGATCTCAGTCTACCTGATGGGAATGAACCATATGTTCCGTCTGTTCTTCAGGGGGATCGAAGACTTAGTAGAGAACAGGCTGAAGAGAGGTCAGGTCACAAGGATCCCGATGTTTCTGCTGAACCCAGCAAACCTAACATTGTGCCCGAGAGATCAAAGAGCTTTACTGACGAGATTAGTGAAGAAATCGTGGAGACTGCGCCTTTGGACGACAGCGAGGGTCATGATGATCTTGTTCATGATGAAGGGAGTAAAATATTGCCAAAGAATGATGCGGAAATTAGCTTTTCAGATTCACCAAAGGCGCAGGATGTCAGGTGTGATGAAGATGAAAAGGAAAAGGTTACAAGAGAGAATGTACTCCAACCTGAAGCGGAAAAAGACGTGCGAAAGTCATTACTGAAAGATGGACGCGGTAGAACCTTGCAGAAGGCGGCAGAGGACAAAAAGCCATCCGTAGATGTAGACGGATTTTTGGCTCTTCTTCAGACTGTTGATGCTGATGTGGAGGTGTCGTTTAGTCCGGAGGCTTTGTACCGCTCTGCCCAGTGCAGTTCAGACCTGCGACAGGAGATTACAAGGTAATAATTTTTCTTGGGAATAAGTTTTTAGTTGCTGGACATTTTTTTATTCCTATGTTTATCGACTCACGGATTACCTGTCTTCATATTTGAAGGGCCGCCGAGATGGGCAGTAGTCTCCAGTCTTTTGACCCAAACACGGTCAGCATGATTGTGTTGGAAGAGTTGCCACTGGTGGTATCCAGTTCCCCTACGGGCTGCCTCATTCCAGACAGAGTGTTTACAGAAAGTGTTCCCTGTAGGTCAGAGAAAGAGATGAGGTAAGACGCCACCCGCAGTTTAATTTTAAATTGTCCTTAGCGTTGCCCTTTGTAATTTCAGGGCTTGAAATAACGGCCGGTCAACGGACAGTGTCTTGTCAAAAATAGCCTTTGCCCGATCCTTGGATGACTGGACATTTTTGTCTTGTCTCTGCAAAAATAGGTTTTGCCTCATCCGCCGGACAACTTGAGTTGCGCTTGCTGGGAAGTTATTTCAAGCACTGATTGTTAGAGCGATTTTCGTATGACCTCGAAATGAAAACGCGCGAACAAAACAGAAACAACAAACAAACGGAAATAGAACGATTTGATTGGTTTATCGAACAGATACAAACGCACGCGGCTTTTGGTTGGTTGAGCGAACGCTCGGGTGAAAAAACTTCACGCCCCAGAACTTTCTAGAAATCAACCGATGCTTCGCTTTGACGTCATACTGCGACGTGACTGGCCAATCGAACAATGCCTTTTCACGTTAGGGTTTTCTTTGGCGGGAAAACGAAGAGGCCATGTTTTGACCTATTCATCCATTGGCTGATGAAACAAATAAGAAACACTTACCGAAACCATTTTTCAAGGTCATACGAAAATCGCTCTACCTATCATGAAAATTGCCAAACGTTTGGTATTTTCTACCCTGCGAAGTTTGACAGCTGCATCATTTCTGCCTGTCATTGAAAACCCGCGTTTCGATCTATTCACACCAATAATAATAACAAAAATAAATAGATTAAAAAAAAAAAACTTGCTAGAGTAAATGCGCCTTTATTCGAAGTTTTACTGTTACTCTTTCACAAGTATAGAACTATTCAAGTTGCATTTGCACTGAAAGCATTTTTTTTTCCTCTTGGCCAGACCTTTTGTGGAGACTTCGTTAATGGTATTATGGAAGACTTTGTTTTCCCATTTTGTAAATCTGGTTACAAAACACGTGATGAGGGCTGACGATGTTGGCAGTATGTTTGGATCTCGTCTCATCGCTCAGGACTCGAAACATGGAAAAGAGGTGAGAAACTTACTTTACGTTATTTTACAACCGTGGCTTTCGATCAGGGGTAGACACTGGTTGTGATGGGAGGCACTGTTTTTTTTTTTTTTGGCGTGCAAGTTCCTTTCTCTTTCAAAATGAGAGGTCGATAACAGAGATCTGGAAAAATAGCAGTAAAAGTTAAGGCTTTATAATTGGCGGCGAAGCCTCTATTTGCAAGGTATAAAGAGGGTCTGAATGGGGTTTAGTGTTTAGTGTTATTTGCCCACAATTTTAAGTATTTACTGTTAAATTGGCCAATTTTTAATGTTTACTGTTTCCGAGGAAAATACTGTTAAGTGTTTGGAGCGTTCTTCGGACATCATATCTTCGGTAATGGTCGGACCTCTTCGTTAGTCTTCGGAGATCTTCGTTGGTCTTCGGGAATCTTCGGGAGCCTTCGGAAGTCTTCTGAAATACATTGTCGTAAAATGGCCGAAAACTCCTGGATATACTAAACAAAATAATATTGGCTTTTTTGGAGCCTTTTTGCTTCTTTCTGGAAAAATGTTACTGTGTCAAAGATTTTTTTGCCGTTAGTGTTAACTGTTTCATGTTACAAAGCCAAAAAAATGAAGTGTTTAGTGTTATCGAGGTACCTCCATTCACTGCGCTCTATAAAGCCATGGAGGTGTTGTGTGAACGAAATGCACCAAACACTGCAGCCAGCCCAAGTATACTACATGTATGTGGGCCTCAGGGAATCTAGGTGAAATTAATTGTTGGTATTACCAGTATAACTATCTATCTAGCATGTTTCATTTGTACGTTTTTGACATTTTTCCAGGGCGTGTACCTTTCACAAATCAACACCCTGTTGGTACCAACTTTTCGGCGAGACTTATCTCTCGCATTGCACTCTTGAATAAATAGAACTTTCCGGCCTGCAATTTACATAGCTAAGTTCAAAGGAACTTAACAAACTTAAAGGATTTCCTCTCGGCGAACCGTCAAGAACTGTAGATCAGTCATTAAACAGCAAAGCCACTTGTGTTACTAAGAAATTCAATTGTGATGCTTGACGTTCTTTGTTTATCATCGTCTTCAAAAAGATCGGATTAGTACAAGATTATGGAAACTGCAACCATAGCCCAACATTTTGCCCCAAGTGAGAAGTTAGTAGTTATATGGTTGCGTTAGGGGATCTAGATGACGTTTGACCAAACGAAAACGCACATGAAAATTGTCCATGTTTTCACGCTTAAGAGTACTGACTACATGTACACCGATAGACCCAAAAGTCTCGTGATATTATTTTTCCTGTTTTGAAGTCACTGTTTCCGGCCTAATTTTAATGTTAAGCTAACCTAGTTATAATTATCTTTTTTGCTCTAAACGTGAAACACTTAAATGCTAGACGTTTCCACCAAAGGTTGTTGCTAAGGTAAACTAATCCTGTTTTGGCTGCCTGCATACATGCCATTTCTAACCATACTTCGTAATTTATCTTTTGCAAAAGAGTGGTGTCATCAATTTAACTCTTTTTATATTTCTTTATTTTTTGTTTTATTGTCTTAAATTACGATCAGTCAGTACCTTTAGTACTCAACCGCACAGCAACCTAACGACAACAACCCGATGCATGTAGTAGAAGAATTTACTTTCAGAGAAAAACACTTGCCTGATGCAGTGACAAACCCATGATCACAAACTATCGTTTTGAGAGAAACACGTTACAACGCTTAAGCATCGTTTCCATGAATATGCGACTTTTTGAAGGATGAAAAATTAACAAATGTCTCCTTAAAGATGTCGAAGGCTTTTTGGACAAGATATTTTTTTGTTGGGTGGTCTTTTCAGAATCTATTTTTGTCTGCCCCAAAGCATTATACATTTATTTACTCTTGAATGTTTTCAGGTGCTTTTTTCGGTGTTGATAGAAACTGAAGTCGTTCTCTCGTGACTAATACACCCTGAAAGTTGGGCGTNTTAAGAGTACTGACTACATGTACACCGATAGACCCAAAAGTCTCGTGATATTATTTTTCCTGTTTTGAAGTCACTGTTTCCGGCCTAATTTTAATGTTAAGCTAACCTAGTTATAATTATCTTTTTTGCTCTAAACGTGAAACACTTAAATGCTAGACGTTTCCACCAAAGGTTGTTGCTAAGGTAAACTAATCCTGTTTTGGCTGCCTGCATACATGCCATTTCTAACCATACTTCGTAATTTATCTTTTGCAAAAGAGTGGTGTCATCAATTTAACTCTTTTTATATTTCTTTATTTTTTGTTTTATTGTCTTAAATTACGATCAGTCAGTACCTTTAGTACTCAACCGCACAGCAACCTAACGACAACAACCCGATGCATGTAGTAGAAGAATTTACTTTCAGAGAAAAACACTTGCCTGATGCAGTGACAAACCCATGATCACAAACTATCGTTTTGAGAGAAACACGTTACAACGCTTAAGCATCGTTTCCATGAATATGCGACTTTTTGAAGGATGAAAAATTAACAAATGTCTCCTTAAAGATGTCGAAGGCTTTTTGGACAAGATATTTTTTTGTTGGGTGGTCTTTTCAGAATCTATTTTTGTCTGCCCCAAAGCATTATACATTTATTTACTCTTGAATGTTTTCAGGTGCTTTTTTCGGTGTTGATAGAAACTGAAGTCGTTCTCTCGTGACTAATACACCCTGAAAGTTGGGCGTAAGTGCAACTCTAGAATGGTGCAAACAGGCAGATGAATTTCTAGACCTGATGGGCAAATTGTGGTTTCCTTCTTGGGATTTTTTCCAACACTTAAACTTTCAGTATAGCACAACGGTGCAAATATAAGAATGCAATAACATGGAAACATATGCTACATAGCGGTTAATCCTATTTAAATGAGCCGTGCCGTGGTAGTGAAACAGTAAGCGAGAGACCTAATAGTAGTGGTCCTTCCTCACAATATATATTATTACTTCTTAAACTTAGAACACGTGTTTGAAGTGCTGAAAATACTTTTAGCCCGCAAATTTAATATGATATCTAGCGATCAGGTTTTATGTTTTTCACAAAAAGGGAAGGGAGAGAACAGATCGAAGCAAGTGCTTTATACATTTATGTACTCTTCGATGTTTTCAGGTGCTTTTTTCGGTGTTGATAGAAAGTCCTTCTCTCGTGACTAATATACCCTGGACGTTGGGCGTAAGTGCAACTCTAGCATGGTGCAAACAGGCGGATGAATTTTTAGACCTGATGGGCAAATTCTTGTTTCCTTATTGGAATTTCTTCCAACACGTAAACTTTCAGTATAGCACAACGGTGCAAATATGAGAATGCAATAACATGGAAACATATGCTACATAGCGGTTAATCCTATTTAACTGAACCGTGTCTTAGTAGAGGCGGAAACAGTAAGCGAGAGACCTAATATTGGTAGTCCCTCCTCACAATATATATTATTACTACTATAATAAACTTAGATCACGTGTTTAAAGTGCTGAAAATGCTTTTAGCGCGCAAATTTAATATGATATCTATCGATCAAGCTTTATGTTTTTCATACAAAAGGGACGGGAGAGAACAGACTGGAACAAGTGCTTTATACATTTATGTGCTCTTCGATGTTTTCAGGTGCTTTTTTCGGTGTTGATAGAAAGTCGTTCTCTCGTGACTAATACACCCTAGAAGTTGGGCGTAAGTGCAACTCTAGCTTGGTGCAAACAGGCGGATGAATTTCTAGACCTGATGGGCAAATTCTGGATTCCTTCTAGGGATTTCTTCCAACACGTAAACTTTCAGTATAGCACAACGGTGCAAATATAAGAATACAATAACATGGAAACATATGCTACATAGCGGTTAATCCTATTCAACTGAGCCGTGCCGTAGTAGAGAAACAGTAAGCGAGAGACCTAATAGTAGGGGTCCTTCCTCACAATATATATTATTACTACTTAAACTTAGAACACGTGTTTGAAGTGCTGAAAATGCTTTTAGCCTGCAAATTAAATATGATATCTAGCGATCAGGTTTTATATTAATTTTTTCAAAATAAGGGAAGGGTGAGAACAGATCGGAACAGGTGCTTTACTTTTTAAAGGGGGCACACAGCTGGATAAGCTTAATCGGTGCCTTCCAAAAAATACTTCTTCTGTCAAGTCGAATATTCTATTGCTGAACTTCGGTTAACGCTTCCATAGCCCGGACTTTATTGCAGCACACGACGCTTTGCGGTCCGGTGGAATTTTTCTCTTATTTTTGAGCGTAAGAACAAAAAATATCCATCGGCCAAATGCGAAAATATAGCCGAGCTTGCTGATCAGTTAAGATTGATTGTGCAGTGCCGGACAACAGACGATTATTTTTCTGACTGTTCTAAGACTAATTCTTATCGCTTACTTTGATTCATAGCCTCATGTGCGCTTCAGAATTGCACCAATTTACCTCAAATCATTGAGCGCTAAAAAGAGTCAATTATTCTAGGTGAAATTTTGTCATGTAAAAAAAATGTTTTACACTGAGAACCTTTTTAGTAGTCAAATACGACTAATCGTTTAATGAACTGCAAGCAAAACTAATTTGATTTTTATACATTGATAAAGTTTTAATGTTTGACCTTTAATGTACTGTATACATACATGTATGCTCATGTCGTGATCGCGGATTGTTCGCTAAAACATGAAAAATGAAACACTGGTAATCCTCTTACCAGTTTGCTTTGTTTGTGATATAGTACTTGTGTCACATTTGCATCGAGAGGGGATAACAAAAATACTAAAGAAGGAAAAAGAAAAAAAGAGAGAGCGAGAGAGAAAGGAGGGTACATGATGACATATAACTGTGTTATATAGGATATTAATGAACTAAAGCTTTAACTGAACTAAATATTCAAACTATTTCGTCTAAGGAACAGAACACACCTTATTTATGATCCTAATTCCTGTCGGTACCTGAGGTTGATTTTATTTACAAAATCTGGGGACGGTAGAGCTTGACTCAGTTTGGATTTGTACATGTAGTAGCGGAGGAATGTAGTAAAACATAGTTGAATTTCCTATTTAAAGTTAAGCCTCTGATGTATTAAAAAGGCCAAATATTTTTCCTTTGTTCTTGAAGCAAAAACATTTTGTGTGAAAGGGGTGCCTTTCCTCTCAAAAATGGTATACCGAAAAAGGTAAGGGATTGGGCATCCAGGCGAAGCCTCCCCGTTTAAAATTTGTTGAGTATCCCAGGGGTTGGGGGTGGGGGCTCGAAAGGTTCAGTGATTTTCTATATGGTGACCATTTACCTTTCAAATCTCAAAGCTGACCACTCAGTTTACGGTAAAAAGTCTAGTTAGTGCTTATTTCGTTTCAAGGTGCCTTTAAATCTCAGGAGAGAAAAGATTGTATATTAACCTTTTATACTAATATTTCCATTCTATACTGAACGCTCTTTTCTCAAGGTCTGTTCAAAAGCTGTTCAAAGCAGTATTTGGGAATTCGTATACATGAGAAACGTATCATCAATCCTTAAAGTCAAAGTAATTTTACGTTGTAATCGTTCTTAAGCGAGTGCAAACTACTGCAGGGACCTAGTCTTTTAAAATCAATTATACAAATCAATTAGTCTATTCTCGGATGAAACACTGACTCAGTACTACTGTTGCCAAGACTGATAGACTCGTTCTTTAGTCTACTTGATGCTTTCGGACGATCAGCGAATTGTTATTTTTTGAGGTGTCGTTGCTTAACAGTATTGCTAATGCTCTGTAAGCTCTGTAAGCCGAAACACCAGGTACTCTTTCAGCGTGTAACTGGGCGTGCTAACATGCCGTTCAGCCAAGAGTGATGTAAGTACTCTCTCATGATGTGCCACGGCGGAATCAACCTTACCACTCGCATCAGCCCGTGAACATCACGCACGCGATAAAGGTGGGCGTCGGTGGAGCTCGCCAGGCCCACGATCTCTGACATACCTCTGAGGTAGCGGCCAACGGCTATCACGAAGATTTGTGTGCCCATAGCTTTGATTTGCAACGCGCGATACAGCGTTTTTTCTTTATCCACATTTGACTGTCCGTCAGTGACAATTAAAACACGCTTTCTTACCCCAGGCCGACCGCCGCAGTTGCTGTTTAATATGAGCTCCCTTCGACAAATATCGAGAGCATCTTGAGTATTCGTTTTCCCTGCCTCGAAAGGTATCTTGCGTAGTTTATATACGGTGTCACGGCGCGTGGTGAAATTAAAACGGACCGTGGCGTTGTAAGAGAATGTAATGGCCGCGTAGCGTCTGTCTCTGTCCGCCTTTCCTGTAAGTAGCTGCAGAGCCCGTAGCGTATTTTTGTAGTCTTGAGGCCGTATCGATGCTGAGGAGTCTATAATGAAGATCGCATCGAACTGTGCAAATGACTGGGTCGGTATGTCCGCAGACCTGCGATGTCTTCTACGTAGTTGTCGAATGACTCTGTGATCTATGCCAAGGAAGAACCGCATTAACTTGTCGGCTGTGACTTGAGCAGGTGGAATTTTCTGAAATCCTGTCAAGTGATGAGATTTGGTTAAAGTCGTCTAACATTACAACACACTGTCTAAGAGCTGGAAGCTATCTTAACAAGATTGCCTTCTGTTGTTGTTTTTTGTTGTTTAAAAAAAAAACCTCTCGTAAACATAAGTAAGGATTCAGAAACCAGCAATAAAGTTCAGTATCCATTTCACAGTTCTAACTCCTGAGTCTGTGGATGAAATCCTATGGTGTTACCATTCATATGAAAGCTCTCCAGCAGCACTTACACATGGTACTATTTATTCAGTATTTGGTTTTAACGTTTGTATCTGTGGGTGAAGTCCAATGGTGTAACTATTCAAATAAAACCTCTTCAGCAGTAGTGGTGCTATTTATTTAGTATGTAGTTCTCAGTAACTTTTGAGTCTGTGGATGAAATCATGTGGTGTGACCATTCAAATGAAATCTCTCCAACAGTTCTTTCTCATGTTAATATTTGTCTTTCGGCAATTTGAAAAATGAAATTTGGGATTTTTGCGATTTTTTTTTTGTTTTACTTTGGCCACCACTGGGGGTGAAAGGAAGAGGTAAGGAAGGGCGGAAAGCGTTTTGTATGAAGACTTAAGTGTGCATGACTCATACAAAGATAAGAGTAACAATTTCAATGTACGTAATAAACAGCTCCGTAGGAATAGGTACTCAGTAGCTTTCATATGAGAGAACACACTACACACTTCAGGATCTCAGCAACTGCTTCGGTCTTTCTTTAAAGTGACCACTATAACAGTCAGGACGTAAGGATTTTTCTAACAGCCAACTCAACCTCTAGTTTAGATTCACCTGAACTGTACTGGCAGCAAAATCGCAGGCGAAAATTCGCAGAAGAATTAGCTACTTCACAACTTTAAAGCATCTTGTACAAAACTATTAAACATTACCAACAGAAAGCGCAAAACAGCGGGTTTTTTTTTTTAATTTTAACCCTTTAGTGAGACTTCTAAACTTGTCCTCTTTGACTCTTAGTCGAGAAGCAAAGTTTGAAATGTCCTAAGTAATTTATCATTGTACTCTAAAGATGTCACCATGGAGTCTGTTTTTGTTTTAATTAAAATGAAAAGGTATTCAATAGAGATAATTTTGTCTGTCTTTACTACACGCAGTTGGTTTTCTCTTTAAGTGAGTTTAATTGAATAGTTTTGTTGGTCTTAATAGCTAGCATGCTGTGTCAAGCTTCGACAAAACAAAACTTTGTTTATCCAAACAGCTAACAAAAGATATGCTAAGTCCTTTTTTGAATTCTTTTTTTAAGGTCAATGATCCTACGTCGTGTTTGGTCTTGTCTGCAGTGTCTTAATTTTAATTGCAAAAACCCGGTTTGTATTATCGCTGCTTGAAGCCGCTGTGAAGCTTTTCTGACGAATATCAGTGCTGCAATGACTGAAAGCTACCAGAAAACCTCCGTTTGCTTAACTTTTAGCCTGCATAGCATGGCAGTTTTACCGGGAGCACGACTAAGCGGCGAAGACGCAAAAACGCGCGCAAAACGCGGGCGAACGTCCTCACGATTTCTCTGCCCTCGCCCGCCGTTATTTACTTTGCGCGCCCAACCAAAACCGCCATGCTACGAGGGCTACCTAACTTTACGGCTGAATTATTGAAAAAGGCAACAAGTGTGAGTTATCACTTGTTAAACGATTTGTGTGAAACCGAACCTGAGAGAGAGAATCAGAGGTAGTCTCTAAATCTGAAAATTTTTAAAAGCATGAAGACCTGAAAAGGTTTAGGTGGCTTCAACATTTGCACCCTTTCATAACCAAAAGAAATCCTATAATGAAATTCGTTCAATTCTTAGTTAACGTCTGTTGATACGTTTGTGTTGTACTTTTTTCCTCTAAAGCTAAAAGTAATGTAAGAAGGAAACTCGAATTTTGTGTCAACTTGTGGATTTGGGTGCTGTCAGTTCGGTTTCTGAAGGCATCACTTACTTTCCCATGGATCCGAGTTTACGATCTTGTTCCGCTCCCAGATAAAGCCGGAACACTCCCACCATAAAACGAACATGACTGCCACATGCAACAGTGTCCTCCACATTTCGAGGCTGTGTTCCAAGACTATTTAGTGAATTGGAGGTGTCTTCAGTAGAATGGCCGAGTACTTGAGGTTTAATGAATTTATCTCCTTGTGATTTACGCAAAGCCTTTTATCGTTTCTTTCGACACTTCTGGAACCAATTATGTTTATAGTAAAACGTATTGAGGAGACCTAGGGGGTGTTAAACAATGGTTTGGAGTTTTGAGCTATGACACATGGCAGGAGTTAGGCTGACGATCTGCCTCAGTAAGCTTTTAGAAACTTCCTTTCTCAGAATTTTCGAGAGATTAGAGTACAGTCAAAGTGCATATCCGTGTGACCTTCGAGTACCAGCTGAAATAAAATGATTAAAACAAATTCGACGTTCAAATACAGTCAAGAATCCTAAAGTTGCCCTAAAAGTCAATCTTATAGAGATAAAAGAAAATGACTAAAGAACAGCAGAGACCAATTCTAGGTGTCCTTTTATGTGAAGTATCCGTTCTGTAGTGTGTAGGTTTAGAGAAAGAGAGAGAGCGTCCAAATTACTCGAGGAAAGATAAAGATAAAAACGTCTTTTAATGTGCTGAGAGAATACAGATAATAGGCACTATCTCGAATTTGACCTCTTCGAAGGAAAAGGAAAGACAAACTTTCGAGAAAAGGAGAGCCCTATTTAAAGCGGGAATAAAATACTGTTGAACAGACTCCAAGAGAAACGGATGTTTATTAAAACCAGTGACAAAGAAATTTCCGGAGCTTACTTAGAAAGGCCACACAACACTTTCATGCTTCGTTTTCTATCTCTGTTGTACCGTATCGGCCTTATTCTACAGAAAAGTTCCACTGCTGTTTACTTTTCAACAAAAGCCTATGTCGTTCGCATATCAAGGTGCCTATAGCAACTAATACCGTTTTTCTTATTATCTCGGCACCAAAGCCTTTCTAGAATTTTCGATCTTTGTTGTTTGTTTTTATCAAAGGAAAATGCATGGATGTATTTCATTGTTTTGCTGCACTTTTTGTTTATATCAGTTTTAATTGTAGTATTTATAACTGCCTTTTCATCATAATCACTTGTCTTAAAGAAATTTTATACTTCGCTTGCATTTGAGGTTAAATTTTTTAATTTGATTAGTAATGTTTTTGGCAACTGCTCCCCTTTATATGTTGCACCTACGCTTTCGGTTGAAGTCGTCCGTTTAATTTGATTTGCTTCATTGTTTTCACGGCTGTTCATTTCACCAGGTTTTTACTTGTCGTGATATCACTGTTATCATGGTCTATAACTTGCTTCGCTTCAGTAGCGGTTTCTACAGACTTAAACTTTAAAACTGATAAAATTTAAACCTCACGTCCCTTTGCAAAAAGTTACCTAAATTGATTTGAGGCTTTGAAGGTTACACTCTCGAGGAGCTCATACATATGTTGTATTACGTAATGGCAAAAGATTTCCTTTAAACAAGAAAGCTTAAAATCGTAAAAATCTACAGGTTAATGATGCAGCCACTTGATCCCTTTTGACTTTTTGCTGTAAAACGTTCCTTTTCCCCTTAATTGATTGCCTGTCTCCCTATCAGGATTATATTGAACTTCGACGCTCAAGCGGTTCTGGCTGCAATTAACCTTCTGTATTGCGAAAATTACCCTATCAACCCATCATTGCAATACTGTCCTCGGGGTGGGAAAGGGGGGGGGGGGGTGTACTCCATATATAAGACATATAGGTATGTACCGCCCCAAAGTGTAGGATTTTTCCGCCGTTTCGGTCTGAAAACGGGTATAGACTTTGTTCAGTTTGGTCTGGAATCTGGTAATTAGTTTTTGAGTGAAGTACCAGAGTGTGTATTATGGGCGTATTTGCCATTTCAGTTCCAAATGAATTAGAAAGAATGATTAATGGAAATTCGAAAATGGATTTTAAGAAATCTTTTTGTTGGCGTCTAATCTAAGTAATTTCAGGCCTGAAAACGGGTCTGGATTTTAGAGGCCGGTTTTGAAAACGGGTGAAACATGACATTTTTTGGTCTGAAATAGCGTCAGGATTGGGGAAACCGGAAACTATACACTCCCACCTAGATTAACCCCCCCCCCCCCCCCCCCCCCCTGGAAAAGTGGCGTTTATTTTTTTTTTTATTTTTTTATAAAAAAAAAAAAAAAAAACAAAGGGGGGGGGGGGAGAAGGAGGGGGGGCCACACCCGCGTCTTTAATGAGAGGGAGGGGTGGGGTGTTGTGTTTGTGTGTTGTGTAAATGGTTTTTAAGATATTTTTTTTTTGGGGTCTAATCTAAGTAATTTCAGGCCTGAAAATGGGTTTGGATTTTAGGGGCCGGTTTTTAAAACGGGTGAAACATAACATTTTTTGGTGTGAAAAAGGGTCAGGATTGGGGAAACCGGAAAATTTAAACCCCCCCCTAAATTAACCCCCCCCCCCCCCCCTTGGATAGCAAGGTTGCCATTATTATAGTGTATACTTGTTAACAAAGATAACATACTAAAACGTAGGGGGTTCGGAAATAGGGTGCACTGTCAGCCCAAGCTTTTAGAAGGTTACGTGTGGAAGCATGTTTTGAATTGCAGTGTGCTTATTTAGTCAACTTTGTCTTTCAACTGTTCTATTGCTTTGGGGATTTGTTTTTAGGTCACTTTTTTGTAATTACTAATAAGTAGTTTAACAGACGTTTAGAGAATTCACAGAATTTTGGTACGTAAGCAAATGCGTTTGGTTGTCATCATGATTGTAGTGCTTTCAGTTATTAAACCTCTGTGTGCAAACCTTACTTTTGTAACTTTGTTCTCCGCTAAGGCAAAGCCACCAGGCTTACTGTAGCCTGCGTAGCAGGCGCTTGGCCCCGCGTGTCTCGCTCGCACGCGCCCGTTCTCTCTTTCACCCACTACATCCAAGCGCCTGCTACGCAGGTTAGGCTTACTGTCGAGTACAAACAACTTTTAGACTTGTAACTTAGGCCGACTTATCTCTTAGTACAAGTTCACCACAATAATGGATCTATATAAGCCAAATGCCACCGCTGGTCTTTACAACCCCTATCATGCTTACTTAACCGTTTTATCTGTCCGAACTGTAAGAAGCAGAACCTACTTTTTTCTGTTTGTTTGTTTGTTTGCGTGTTTTTCTTTTCGGTTGTTTTTGTTTTTTTTGGCGCCCGAGCGCACTTCGGTCTTTAGCCTGTTAGTAAGAGCTTATGCAGTTAGTTATCTCGTTTTGGACTCTTTGGTAAAACAGACATCACCCTTAACCGCACATCTAGACACCCTTTCACTTTAATTTCTATAATGCAGACAGCTGTCTAGAGGGACACCTAGAGTTGGTCCCTGGTCAAGGTGTCCAACGTAACGTCATTTTATTGGATGGAATTAAGTGTTTGGCCGCCTACAACTCTACGTGCCACATTCCTTTTCTAGGTCAAGTGTAGATGTATAACAAGACAGTAAGCTAGGCTTAATTAAATACTCGCAAACCAAAACAGTTTCGTCCCGCGAAGGTATTTCAGAGGACAAAAAGACATGGATCAGGTATTGATGTCCTCACCATATTGGTAACGTTCCATAACCCAGGGGCGCTGGTGTTGATGAAGGTATCTCCAGGGTGGAATAAGCCGAGTAATGTCCAATAGTGACATGGTGTTTCGAACTCGAAACAGGTGTCTATTAGTAGTACTGGCAATACCAACCAGCTCCTGGATCCCAGGCATGTAGTTTCCAACACCAATTACGAACATTTCCACGCCGAGCATTTTGAGTTGAAATGCACGAAACAAGGTGAAGTGAACGTTTACATTGGAGCTCCCATCGGTGAGTAGAAGAACGCGCTTTTTAGCTCCTGGACGAAGCTTGGAATTTTTGTTCTGAAAGAGTTCAGTTCGGCATTTTAAGAATGCTTCTTGGGTGTTTGTCTTGTCGCCGATAAACTTTACTCTACTGCGCAGATAGTGTTTCGCTGTCGAAGGATCGGTGAAATCAAAAGAGACCGTGGCTTTATCCGAGAACGTTATGGCTGCGTAGTGAGTATCCGGTCGTGCTTTGCTGATTAGAGTCTTCAGAGCTTCAACGCCTCGGTCAAAGTCGCGTTTGCGAATTGAATTAGAAGCGTCAAACACAAGAACAACGTCATATTTGGTTTGGTCGAGACTTCTTCGATATCTTCTTCTGCTTCCGCTTTGAAGAAAAAACCGTTCAATTTTCTTGGCGGTTACTTGTTTTCTAGGCACTCTATCAAATCCTGCCAAGACAAGATTACTTCTGTTAATTTTATAACCCAATTGCATCCAGAATTAGGCGTTGAGGTTGACTCAGGGGGTTTCTATTCGTCTAGCAATTCCTGAGTGCTATCTAATAGACCGCATTACTGTCATTGAAGTCTTACATAGCTGGGTCTAGCTGACGTGTACTCAAATGTAGTGTGTATAGCTGTAAAACAGTTTCTACCCTCTCCCATATGATCATCTTTTCATGTACACATTGCTCCAAAGAAACTTAAAACTTAACCCTGATAATCTCCATCTCCACTTTGCGACCTAAATTTCTCCATTTTCAATTCTTTGATTTTTTATTTTATCATTGAAGATCAGGCAGCTCTCTAGCCTTGAAACCCTACTCCACAGGAAAATTATTGTCTGAGTCACTATGAATTTACGGACGCGGCAGACCATATCTGCTCACAGAGAAACAAAAAATAAATAAATAATGATGAAAAAAAGTAGGCTGGTTATCAAAATAGAGTTTATTTGGTGTTTTTAATACAAATTTAAGTTCTAAGCCGTTTCAACTTGTCCTAGCGTAATATCTAAACATTGCTTCCCATGAAAAGAAACAAGAACGCATACTGCTTAGACTGAATAAAGAGCTCTTAAAAACGGATCTTGAGGTACGTAGATTATCTCATTTAAACCACTGAATAATTTTGTTATGGCGACGGCAACGAGAACCGTCAAAAAGCAACAGGTTTCATGAAAATTAGACTTTGCATGTGCGACACACTTTTCGGTACATTTTTTTGCCGTCATGCACTGGACGACTACGACTTGAAATGCCTAATTTTACGTAGTTTATCGAGAACATATTAGACAAACAACGTCAACTTTCTCTTTCCTGTTTTGAACTTGGCTATTTTTCTTAGGAATTCAACTTGAGTAGAGTCGCATTCATTTGGCAAAGTGAGCGAAATGGGATAATGGCATTGAAGTTTTAAAGAACGCGAATTCAATTTTTAGTTATCTTTTCGTTGTCTTCGCCGTTGTGATATCTTACACTCCCAGTTTTTTCTAACAGAACTGGGCCCTTACGCATACAGGAAAGCCATTTTTAATATCCCACCGCATGTACTTTTACTTCAAAGTAGAGTTAACGGACTTTAAGCTGACATCGTCTCGCTCTTGTCGGAACGTAGTTACTTTAAGTTCGTGTCTTAAAGACACGAACTGAGATTTATGATGTTAAAACGGTGTGGGAGAATCAAATACATTTCCTTAATAGATAGTCCATTGCACGACAATGGAAATTCCTAGGTAGAGTTTAAAGTCCAACTTACTTGACTGGGGAGATATTCCTCTTGTCTTCGTCTTCTCCCACACGAAGCCGTCTAAAAACACAGCAGACAGAAGCACCAAAACCGTCTTAACAGTGAGCATCGTATTCGCAGTCGCAGCTTGGTCCGTGGCCCCTTTTCTTTGCCAGGCACACGAGTTTGTTCGACTGGGTCGTTCTGACGGGAGGTATACTTGTTGTGATTTGCATCAGGAGTGGGCGGAATGTAAATAACCCAGTACAATTTCTTTAGTTCGGGTTACGTTTCACTTATTTTAGTGTTGAAAAGCATTTTTCGCTTGTCGTCTAGAGGTTGCGGGTCTTCGATTGATCGTCACGAAAAAAAGAAAAAACAAGGCAGACAAAAACAAATACAGAATAAGTGCTTTGTTTCCTTTTCGCAGTTGGAAATCGTAGGCGTGGTGGCTGTAAAAGTGGTGCAACCATCCGAAAACCTGCCAAGTTAAATTCTGTTGTTCCAAGTATTCACTTTTTCAGCAATGAGAAAGGTTATACGTAAATTAAGGACTATTGAAGCTTCTGTGATATTAATAAGTTTTTTTGTTTTGTTTTTTCATTTCCATGTGAAAAGTTATTACCTGTTCTGTTTTACTGTTAGGAAAACGAGAATTTCTCGCTAATGCTAATTTTTGAATGTATTTTGCACACAGAAAATTAACTTACGTTCAGATATAAAAGTAATTCGCAGGCAAAAGGTTTAATTATATGCGATAAGAATCTGGTTCCAGAAACTTCTCTTTTTAGTTTTTTTTATAGTTTTTCTTTCTATTGTAAGAAGACGTTTATCTCATAAGGCTCAAGGCACAAGAATGCTACTTTCTTAACAAACAAAATTCAGTCTTGAAATGAAAACTACAGACAATAACAGTTCATATTATCGGAAAAACAAAAGTGGACTTCAAACTTGGAGTCTGCCGCGTCGGTCCTAAGTACACTGCAAACTTTTAAATTGCTTTATTGCTCTTTCTTCAATTATTATTATTATTATTATTATTTTGCTTTGGCTTGTTTTTGACTGCCGCTAATCTTTGCTTATCAGTCTTACAAAACGGGCAATTATGACACACGACTGCGTTTCTGGAGTGTTCCGCCGGTCTCGATAAGAAACTTAGGGTCATCTCGACATCCCTTGATTCCAGTCCGTAACCAATAAAAAAGATCTCTATCTTAACAGATATGTGTGTAGTTTAAGCTCCAACCAATACAGTCGTCTGTTTTCGCGGTGGTAGTCTGCTCTATTTTTTCTGGAGTTTTCTGATTTCTCTAGAAACTTGGCGCATTACCATTTGAAATCAATACTGAGGTAAGCAGTGTCAGCAAATGAAGACAAGACAAAATATCTGACTCCGTGCTTACTGTTTAATCAAAAACTGTTTCCAATTGCTGTATACTTTAAAGTTATACTTATCTAGGCTTCCCAAACCAAAATCCTTTTTGGACCTTAAAAGCTTTAGATGTGCTGAATACAATGATCTTTAAATAGACTGGTGCTTTCTAGCCGGAAATTTCTGCGGTGTGTTTGTCGAAAGAGGATCCCGTCCCTTTTTTTTAAGTATTCGTTTTCAGTGGGTCAAGCAAATCATCAACAACTTAACTTGACTAGTTAGGCAAGCTTTCAATTCCCCTAAAGTGCTATTAAAACAATCCAGGTTTTTATCAGAACATATCGCACCCATACTTGAAACTTGTTGGCACCTCATTGCAGATAAGAATTTTAATGGCTCTATAAATACTTATATTAGGATATAGACATGACATGAGTGATTTTTCTCCGACAATTAGGTCGATGAAAGAAGCCTTACTTTCGAAGTATTTTTTGGGAAACCAAGGTTGTTTACGAGTCGAAGTGATCTTTTTGCTTCGTTAGCTTTGCCCGTCAAAAAAGCGGCTCCCCATGTGTTTGTACGCGATCCTACCACTTTTATATCCTGAGAGTACTCCCTTATATAGCCGTATAGGTATGTGCTACCCCAAGGGTAGGGTTTTTGCACCGTTTTGGTCTGAAAGCAGCATAGACTTTGCCCATTTTGGTCTTGAATCGGGTATGGTTTTTCTTGCCTTCGTTTGCCTCAAATTACATGCAAATGGAACAATTTTGAACCCATATGCCAAAAACCCAATGAGAAAACCAGAAAAAATCTCTCAGATAAATTAAGTGTCATTCGTGAGGTCACCACTCTCTTTCAGTTGTTGATTTGCCAAATCAGCGCGGCGGGCTGTTTAGGTGTTTAGAATAGCACCGCGTGCATAACTGGTAAAGAGTGCTCATATGTGAAACTCTTTCAACAATTATCTTTCCGTGTCGTTCAGTGATATTCTCAGCGTCGTGTGAGGTGTTGAAGGAAAGTATCTCAGCCGTCCTTCTGGCAAAGAGGAAATTCCTTTGATTTTAAATTGCCAAAATCACTTTTCGGTAGGAAAGCTATACTTATACTGAATGAGCGGGTATCAAAAATAAATATACACAGTGTAAACAAATGAACAAAGTACAAAGTCAGCAATTGGGATCATTTTCAAGTTAATTTTGTCAACTTTGACAGTACGTGTCATCATGCGCCATGGAACTTTACTTTACTTGTGCATGAATGCCAATATTATATCTTCTTGTCCAGCAAATATGCCTTCTTATTATACACTGGACTCACTATCTGTCTTCTCATTGGCTAAGAGCCTACAGCTTGCTTTGGAAATCAGTGCAACATACAGATTAATTAGTTATCTGTTAGTTATCTGTTAGCAGATAACTGACTAATCTGTAGGTTGCGCGCGCAATGCCTGATTTCCAATAACAATATCAATTTCCTGGCGACAGTGTGTTTGTCGCTATTTTCCTCAAAACAATGTACAATAAAACAATTATTAGATTCGGTTTTTGTGATATCCTTAATAATCAAGGTCTCTGTAAGTGTTATTAGCCTCGGCCTTGGGCTCGGCTGATAACACTTACCTCGGCTAGCTTTTATTGTTCTTACACTGTAATCAGGGATAAAGCTGACTTTGCAAATGCTACTAATCTGAACAAGTGAAAAAAAAAATTGATTTATACCAATCCCAAAACCACACAAGTAGCTTTCCTTTATAGCTTTTTCACTCACGTTGCTAGCACCTATGCAAATCTCTTGCGACAAAAGCGTCTCAGCACACGGCCCCGTCCACACGTATCCCGATAGTTTTGAATCCCCAACTTTTCTTTCCGGATTCGGCTTCAGTCCACCCGTATCCGGTGAATCCAGCGTACGAATCCGCAACTTTTTAAATCCGCTTTCCAGAGTGGAAATTTCTGAATACGCTATGAATCCGGAATCTGGATATTCTTTTATCCAGTGACGTCACAAGGTCGAGAGTAGTTCTTTACCGTGAATATTCAAGACGGTGTCGAGCGCAATCTTATCGCTTCTTTACTTCTTGAACTTCAGATTCAAGTCTTATAACGTGCGGTAGTTAAAGCTAGGTATGATTACTGTATACTTCGATGACGCCACTTTGAACTTGACATTAAACAAGATGAAAGACACATAGCCTTCTTAATCAAGGAGGAAAGTGACTGACTTGAATTATTTTGCTCCTTTTTGTTAATTCCTAGTATTTTGGAGTAATTCTCACGGGTGGCCTCTATTAGACCTGCGGGGGACGATTATTTAACAATTATTCCTTCTAGGCCGAATGGGCTCTGAGT